ACGAGCACGTTTCGACACGGCCATCTTTGATGATTTTGTATTTTGTTTTGGATTAGCAAAACGACTTCAAATTTTATAAGCATGTACCTCACATCATAAAGAATTCAAAGAATAAATTCAAAAAATATATATATATATATTTTGGCCCCGAAATAGGTTTTGACGGAGGCCGAACGCCTTCGAGTTCAGACCCCGAAGGGGATCCTGAACGCCCATACGTAGGGACCCCTATTCCGGGACCTCCGAAATAGGTTTTGACGGAGGTCGACCCAGGGACCTCCGTATGTACGGGCTGGTTACCCTGACTATCCTATGATTATTATGATTTTTTCCTACAACGGATTTTATGTTAATCCGCTTTAAGCATACCTTAGGAGCCTGTACCATATCGGTGGGCAGGTTCGTTTTCAAATAACCTCTCTTCCGTACTGGCCGAAACTCGTATGGTCGTCGTGGCTGATCGACCTGGCTGGAGGCACGGTGCATTCAGTCCAGATTCAGACCAAGAGTTGAATGCGTTTAGGGCATGTAGACTGAACATAGGAGAGGAACGCGTGACTATCCAAGATCGCGAAGGTGCAAAAACTCTGACCGCAGGGTAGGAGGAGGAAGAACACGCGAAGGGGGAAAAACAAAATTGCAATTGAGAAGAAGATCAACGTGTAGAGGTGTAGGAAGACAAGCATAGCAGGAGGTAAAAGAGGAAGAGCGAGAGTCGATAACGTGGTTATTGACGCAACGAGGGACAACACTATAAGGGAAGAAGGCAGAGCGAGAGCAAGAAGAGAGCACGCCTTAAGGAAGGAGGAAAAAATAATAGTCGTAGGAGGAAAGAGAATTGCGCACGTGGAGAGTAAAGATAGTGGTCGCTGAGAGGGAGAAAGTAGGGGTGTGATGGTAGAGAGAGGAATAACGCACATAAGAGGAAGAAATGTGCACTTGTAATTGAGAAACTTACCCCTTTCGGTAGTTGACTGTCGTCATCATCGTCATCTGACTTTCCACCGTATAACAAAGCACCCTCATTTTCACTCTACCGAAATGGAAAGATAGTTGAGCAACGCACTAGCCAATATATATATATATATATATATATATATAGAGAGAGAGAGAGAGAGAGAGACAGAGAGAGAGAGAGAGAGAGAGAGAGAGAGATGTTACTTCCATCGATAGGATGAGCAAAATCGAATGAATCTTCCGTTAATACATGGAAATATACACAACTACACTTGGTATTGTGTCTCTGTAAGAAGCGTGAGGACAACCACAAGGTTTGAGACTTACATGTTGCCCAGTTCGTTGCTTATCCTATTGATTGAAAACTCTCTCTCTCTTTCTCTCTCTCACACACATATACATAAAAAAAAAAAGTGGTAGTGTATATTTTCATATTCAAGCGTAAGATTCATTCCGATTTCGCTCATCCTATAGATGGAAGTAGCCTCTCTCTATCTCTCTGCGTGCATGGCTGGAAAGCAGTGTATGTTTCATATTCGAATACACGCACGCGCACACACACACACACACACACACACACACACAGGATGAGAAAAATCGAATGAATCAACCGCCAAAACGTAAAAATATACACTGCCACACGTGTTTCAAAGCGTTAGTGAGAGATGTGCCTGAACATACCCCCAACTTGTGCTGCCCGTGGTCACTGGCCTCAACTTTTTTCGAGGGAGGGACGGTTTGAGGCCAAGCAAAATCGGTCAGTCATGACGGTGTGCGTATTCCTTATTTGTAATATTATCCCACGCTCGACAGGCAAGGGCATTACCATTTGTTTTGTGAAACTAATTAAAATGTACATACGAGTATTTCGGTGCACAACACACACTCGTGCTTTACTCGATGAATGCAATGCTTTGATCATGGACTTCATAATGACCATCAAAGCAAAACTGGAAAAATATCAACCATAAACATGGAAAATTCCAAAGTTGGACGATCTCATGCATCTAAGAACATGCATTGAGCGATCCGGTGTCCTCGACACCTTCGCAACAGATGTATGGGGGCATCACCACAGGAAGTTCTGCAAACAGTCATACCTGTCATCAAACAAGCGGAAAACTTCAACCCAGATGGTGAACCATGTACGCCGGTCATTGGCATTGCGTGAAGAGACAGAGATCGTAAGGAAACGAAGGAAGAAAACGGTTGAGAATCGGTCGTCGTGACAGACTGTATGGTCACCGGAATGAACACACTCGCACTACGCGATACAACAACTCTGCAACTGCGGTGGTTCAACATCGATGACGAGTACATACAGGAGGAGGAAGGCATTGACAACCTTGCGTGTAAGATACTCATAGAGCATCCTTGAAACTTGATTTTCGAGCTTCGCTGACGACGTTCATGGTGAAGAATGGTTGTTAACCTCCTTCCGACGAACTACTCATACACACACGAACAAACCTCGTCATCGCCTGCATACAGAATGAAACAAACAGGGGCATGCTTGTTCAGACTGCAAGAGCTTCACCAGAGTTCCATAGGAGAGCAGTGCATAGTGATGTGGCAATTACAACAGACAACGAATGCACATGGTTTGCATCGGTGGCCATGTTTTTTGTCGTGAAGACGTGCACGGACAACGGTAATGTTGAACACAGGTGCGGATTTGTGCAATGGTACAAGGAGGTCGATAGCGAAAGGCAACACATAACATGTTGCAAGAAATTGAAATGAGAGAAGTTGAATGGACATCGACACAGAAACGTCATATCGATTGACACTATCGTAGACACAGTTCACATTCTTCCATGTTTCTCTAAACCACAATGGCGATCGAAACATCGTGCAAAACAAAGTGAGGGTTATTTTTATTTGAACAAGTATGTATTGTAGAAGAAACAAATAAAAAGTTTGTAACTTTGGTATTAGAGAACCGCGACTTGTGAGAAACTGATGTTGTTTCGTTATGGTCTCACATGAGAGAGAGAGAGAGAGAGAGAGAGAGAGAGAGAGAGAGAGAGAGAGAGAGAGAGAGAGAGAAAGAAAGAGAGAGAGAGAGAGAGAGAGAGAAAAAAAAAAAAAAAAAAAAAAAAAAACGTCTTTAGAAGAAGTACAGAAGAAAACAAAAATGTCTCTCTATCTGTCGCCTTGTTAGAAACTTGTGTTATTTCGTTATAATCTTACATGTGAGAGAGTGAGAGAGAGAGAGAGACATCTCTCTTCCGAAGTAAAGGGAAATAAAAAAGAACATTTGTCTTTTTATTTCTGTCAATTGTTGAGAAAAATCATCTCAAATGTGGCTCACCTTATGAAGTGGTGAAAAGTTCAAAAGCAGGGGTGAGACTGAAGTTCACCCCAAAGTTCACTATTCTGTGACAATTACGTGGTCAACAGGGACATCGAATCACTTTCGACACGCAGTAGCCAACCTCTCTCTCTCTCTGTCTCTCTCTCTCTCTCTCTCTCTCTCTCTCTCTCTCTCTCTCTCTCTCTTAAGTATTTTATAAAAAACCTTGCAAGTAACAAAAAACTTAACAAGTCCTGTGTGTTATGCCAATTTGATGGACGCGTGTGAACAGGAAGACAACCCAACGATCTCGCGTACCGTCCGAGAAGGAGCAACATCGTCCACTTAATAAGACGGTGTAGGTAAGAGAAACCGAGTAAGCATGACAGAGTTACAGAAAAGCAACACGGATGGTGACGGCAAAAAGTGTTCGTATATGGGTACAGAAACGGGGACTTGTCCTAGGACAATAGTTAACGACGAAGACACATGCAGAGAGGTCGTAAGCGAACCCTTGTTGCCACTTACCACTGAGAGGTCAGTGAAGAGGTGGAAGAAAATGTTGAAGGGCCCTTGGTACGCAAAAAGGTATGCAGTAATGACGGAGGATGAAGTAAAGTCTCCCCAGCTGATGAAACTCGATGCAAGGTTGCAAAGTGTTCGTGAGAGATGCGTCCGAACATACCCCCAACTTATGCTGCCCTTGGCCACTCACAGCGACTTTTTTTTGAGGGAGGGACGGTTTCAGGCCAAGCAAAATCGGTCAGTCATGATGGTGTGCGTATTCCTTATTTTTAATATTATGCCACGCTCGAAAGACACAGGCATTACCATTCGTTTTGTTAAATTAATGGAAATGTACATACGTGTATTTCGGTGCACAACACACACTCGTGCTTCACTCGATGAATGCGATGTTTTGATCATGGACTTCATAACGACCATCAAAGCAAAACTGGAAAAATATCAACCATCAACATGGAAAATTCCGAAGTTGCACGATTTTATGCATATGAGAACGTGCATTGAGCGATCCAGTGTCCCTGACACCTTCGCGACAGATGTATGAGAGCATCACCACAGAAAGTTCTGCAAACAGCCATACCTGTCATCAAACAAGCGGAAAGCTTCAACCCGGATGGTGAACCATGTACGCCGGTGATTGACATTGCGTGAAGAGACAAAGATCGTAAGGAAACAAAGGAAGAGAACGGTTGAGAACCGGTCATTCGTGACAGACTGTATGGTCACCGGAATAAACACACTCGCAGTACGCGATACAACAACTCTGCAACTGCGGTGGTTCAACATCGAGAGATCGTAAAGGAACTGGGTGCAAGGTTGCAAAGCGTTAGTGAGAGATGCACCCGAACATACCCCCAACTTATGCTGCCAGTGGCTAGTGGCAGCGACTTTTTTCGAGGGAGGGACGGTTTGAGACTAAGCAAAATCGGTCACTCATGACGGTGTGCGTATTCCTTATTTGTAGTATTATCCCACGCTCAAAAGACAAGGGCATTACCATTTGTTTTGTAAAACTAATGAAAATGTACATACGAGTATTTCAGTGCACAACACACACTCGACATGCTAATTGTGTTCTCAACGAATATGTCATTAGCGTCGGGCAATCGCTGGATGGATTGGTCTTGTCCCCACTGGATCGGAATATGAGTGAAACATGGATTGAGTGTCTTGTGTTGTATGAGGCAGGGTTACGAAAGATGTACTTGTGTAATGAGAACTATGAGAGGGTTTTGTCTGCACCAGAGGTGGTGCTGAGCAAATGCAGAGCAGCATATAAAAAAACCGCTCTGGACAAGGTGGCAGCATGGGATCGGTCGGGCAAGCTGCAGTTTGCTTATGTGATTTCCAAAGAGAAGGACAAGCTAAAAAACGTCCTATCATCCCGTCTTTTACTAGTCCGTTCCGCGCAGCATCGGGGTTGCTCTCGACTTCGTTGAATGGATTAATTAAGCGGGTGAAGGTGCCGCATTTTAATGTTCGCGAGATTGGTGGCCTCAAGTATGAGATTGGCAGGATAAATGAGTATGGTATGAAGAAGGGGTTGGATTTTGAGGTGCGTACTTATGACATTAAGGAAATGTTTATGCAATTACCGCATGAGGAAATAAGCAAAGCGGTGAAGTGGGTTGTGGATGTATGTCATGAGATGGGGTTGAGGTGGATTTGGGTGAACAATTGGAAGAAGCAAGCAATGTTTGGGAAATCGCATGGCGAAGATGGCTGGAAGTCGGCAAGACTGAGTAAGTTGGTGGTGCTGACTGACTTCCAGCTGACAAATACGTTTTTTCGGGTCTATGACACAGTTTTGAGGCAGAAGCGGGGCATTCCAATGGGTGGAAGAGCCAGCCCCCCTCTGGCCTGTGTGATGTGTATGTTCTCCGAGTATAAGCTCATGGTGTCACTCGGTGTCGATGCTAGGTTCATCACTGGGAAGAGATATATTGATGACCTTTTGATGGCCTCGTTTTTTAAGAAGAATGAGCCTGAGCAGGTGATTGCGGCAAAAGAGCGGTTTGACCGGGTGACACAGTGTTATCCGAATGGATTACAACTGAAATCGACGGACTTCGGGAACGGGGTTTTGAATTTTTTGGAAACAAGACAGCTCGTAGGTGGTGAACCGATGAGTATAACAATGGTACACAAGTTCAAGAATTCGGACTCTATTTAGGGTCCTGGCAATGTGCGATTCAAGACCTATAAAGATTTCAGATCGTTTGGGCCAACCAAGGCCAGGTATGCTACTGTTGGTAATACCATTCTTCGTATCTCCAGAAACTCGAACAATGTGGGGATTACTTTCCTTAATGTACTCACACTGATGGAGGAATTGGGGAAACTCGAGTACCTGAATAAGGTGGTCATTGCAGGATTGGAATGGATGGGTAGGAGAGAGCCCACCCCCTTTTGGGCAGCAATGGCTGCAATCTCCCGTGCGTGGCTGGGGGAAAGGCGAGGGCTGCTGGGTATTGGAAGATAGTGTGGCGGTAGAGGATCGGATCGTGTGTAACGTCATTGCAGTGGTTAATCATATATGACAGAATCACCGTAGGTGGCATTGGCGGTTTGCTGTAGCATGCATACGGATCGCTAAATCCAAACGTACAGTCGAAAATAATCAGTCGTTGGTCACTAAGTATTTTCTTATGAATTTGGGCGTGCGGCCTGGGTAGATCCATTGGATCCGGCACTTGCGATCTGAGGCCAACAGCGAAACGTAAATTGAATCCGGTACTTGCAGAATGGTTCCCTCGATGAATTTGGGTGAGGGACCTGGGGAAATGCATTCAACCCAGTGCTGAATCTGGGCGCGTGAGGGTGTAGGTATTGGGTTCTGGGGCCGGGTAAGCCACTGCAGTGGTCACTACGCAATCTGATCGTGTAGGACAGAATCACCGCAGGTGGCATCGGCGGGAACAATCTTCGGTGGTCACTAAATTAATATTCATTATGAATCCGGGTGAGCGGCCTGGGTAGATCTATTGGATCTGGTACTTGCGAATCTGGGGCCAACAGCGTAACGTAAAATTGGATCCGCAAATGGCTCCCTCGATTGGATTTGGGCGAGGGACCTGGGGAAATGCATTATGCTGAACTTGGGTGTGTTATTTGAGTTGATGGTAAGGAGTAGGTGTTGGGGTCTGGGACCAGGGAATGGACGGTTGGTGTGAAGAGCCGACAGCATATATAGTAGATGTTAGAGGTGGTATCCTCAACTTGAGTGACGTATGAGTGGAAGGGTTGAGTATCCCTGATGGTTTTTGGATCAGGGAGTGCGGCGAAGAAGTTGGTGACCTCATGATAATAAAGCTCACATCATCTTCTTTGTAGTCTTTGTATTGTGTGTATCATGTTTTGATATCTTACAACCTCAGGGTCGACCTTGCTGTGGTTTGGGAACGAGCCTGAGGTGCCGAATCTCGTTTGTGTGAATTGCGCTGGTGGGATCGTGCGAAGTGGTGCGCTTCTTTCGTTTGTTTCATTAATTAATATTTCATTGATTAATATTTCTATCATTGATTAATCTCGTCTATTGCTGTTTTCTGTTGATGAGTGTTATTGGTATTTCCTTTTGGTTCGTTGTGTGTCTTCAGGTCGGAATAGTACTACCATCGGGACATTGCTCGTATGGGTACGGGGTGTGGGAAAGGCGGTACTGGTCAGCGTTAAGGCTGAGTTGGATAGCGCATTAGGAGGTATTGATGGCGATTGCATTAGGATGATGATGTCATTTGGATTGTCTTATGGCATACACGTCGAGGGGGAAGCCGGTCTGGCGGAAGGTGCGTAGTGATGTTGTGTGAAGTTGCCTGATGTCTTGGAACTGTAGTGAGTAAAGAAGCAAACGGTGTGGACTAACGCTGTGTATGGCATGCTGTTAATTTGTGTATCCTTGCGAAGTCGCGCCGAGATGCACGAGGATCTGTTTTGTCCGTGCGATCTTATGATCAGAGTGTCTAGCTTGGTAATTGAAGCAAAGAATAAGGACAGGAGGGTTGCTTGGAGTGTCGGGATCGGAGGGGTCTTGCTCGTGCTATCCTTGATCGGACGTATGTACGGGCGTAATAGAAGCGGGAGAGGCGCATCGAGGAAGGGACGCTGGTCCAACTGTGGGCGGTATTGGTCCAATATGAGTGGTGGTGGCGGTAACGGCCAGAGCGGGCAGTACAACCCACCGCCTCCTGGGGTATATGGTCCGGCTGGTCAGCACCCGATGATTAATCAAGCCGGTGTGCCACCGTTAAGTTTTGGCGCCGGGGTGAATGGTGGCGCCTATCAAGCATAACAACCAGTCGGGGCAATGGAATACGCCGGCATGGCCAGGACCTTGGCCGATGTCTGGGCCATGGATGATGCCTCCGATGCAACCAGTACCGATGGCGCAAGTCGCTCAGCCAGTGGTCAGGTGGTACAACCACTTGTTATAATGCATCCTCAGGCTATTGTGTTGACGATTCCACCGGACAACAACCATCAACATTAGCAAGTTAGTAATCAGCCTGACTCGCTTCAGAATGGGCAGTACTCAGGAGACCGGTCTTCTAATTCAGGCAAAGGGTCGGCTGCGAATGCCTTCCCGGGACCTGGGAATCGGGCGTACTTCACCAAGGAGTACATGGATATATTAGAGGATATTAAGTCGACGAAGGTGCTGGATGAAGCTAAGAAGAAAATCGCTGGTACTAACAGGAGAGGAGGGGGTCTTCAAATATCTGGGAATTCTGGTGAGAGCCGTGTCCCTCACGGACAAAGCGAGGATAGGAGTGATGAAATGAAGGCGTGGGTCTCCTCAACATTGGGTGACTCTCTGAAGCTGATCACAAGGAAGCTTCAAGAGGTTGATGCAAAGGCGAATGTTGCTGCTGCAGAAAAAGAGGAGTTGTTGAAGCTGCGGGCTGAGAAGGCGGCTCTAGAGTTGGTTGTTTTGAACAGAGGGAAAAAAACGAGTAGTGAGAAGCGGAAGAGGGTTATGACCGCCCTCACTGCTCCTGTGGTGGCTACCCTGAAGACAAATGCCACGAAGGTGCGATCACGTGGAAGTTCAAAATCAAGATCTCGAAGAGTGGAAGTTTCGTCTGATGAGGACGGTGAGGATGATGATGGTGTCAAGCAGAACTTGGCGCCAAAAATGGAAAAGAGCAGTGATCTCTCCGAAGTTAAGACGTTGGTGACTGAACTGGTGCAAGGCCTTGCTGCTCAGAAAGGTAAGCAACGTGCCAATACTCCTGAGCAGGCGCCTGTGCCCGAGCACGAGTGTGAAGAGACTGAGGATCTGGACCTTGCGCAGAAGCCTCTCCAAGGCGAGGAGGAAGAAGTCGATGAGGACGACCTTGTTGCGTATATGAAAATGAGGCATGACTTTTATATGTCTTTTCATTTCTCGAGAGTCCAGGAACTTTGCAAGCAGAGGGGGGTGCATTATGTTTGAAAAGATACTGGGTCCTGGAAGCTTGCACGACTTGACCTGCAAGAGTATGCAGATCAACTGAAGGGCATAGGTCCAAGAGGTACTGCTGAGCCGTCACAAAATCCTGATAATACGGATCTCAGTGATGATGCTGAAACCGGTGCTGTTACCGGTAATTAGCAGCTTGGTAGTCTGCGCTCCTTGAAAAGGGCAGTGAATAGGGTGGTGGTTCTAAAAAACCGTGTGGTAGATCAGATTCATATTCTGATCATCTTGCTGGCTTGCGTGCGGGGTGATATTGCGCGGGGTAAAGCGTACGTACGATTCTGGCTGCGAATGTCCCAGTCAGAGTGGGATCGACTGTTGAATGGTGGGTGCTACGTGTATGCTCTTACGTCGTTAAGCCATAGGCTTATCTATATGGGAAAGACGGTAAGGTCACTTAAAGACAGGTGGCGGGAACACTGTCGAGCGGTGGTGGGTAGTAGCAAGCAGCGCGTGCACACATGGTTGAGGAAAGTCGGGCTAAAGCACTACGTTCCGATTCCAGTCTGGTTTGGGGAGCAACTTGCTATTGAAGGAATGGAGGCCAAAATTATTAATGTCATAACCCTGGGCTTAATGTGAAAGGATGCGGGGGTAGAAAAATGCCGCGAAGAAGTCAGGGAGGGAAAAAGAAGGATGTTAGTAGGTTGTCGCCGAGTGTTGTTAGCGAGCCTCTGTTTTTTTACTACCCTGCTGTGAGCGTGCGGCAGGAACCTGACTTGCTCAGAATTTTTAAATTGTTGCGTAAAAATAAAATTAAGGGCCCTGTGGGGATTTCGAACAATGTTGGTTGTCAATGGGTAAAGGCGTTGTCGAGCGCATCGGTCCGGCACCGCACGGGGGCAGCGCGGGACCCTCCCGACCGCGTCACGCAGGAGTTGGATTTAAATCCTCCATCGCGACTATACATGGAGCTTCCGCAAGCCGCTCCGGCCGAGTGCGCCAGCCATACCTCTTGCGAGCCGCTACGACAGGATAGGGCCTACGCGAGGCACGACTTACCTACACCTTACGGGAACTGTCACCTCGCTTCGGTGGGCGTATCCCCGCCGAGCTACCAGTCCACAGTACAAAAGTTAATCAGCTGCAATTGCAGAGGTGGACCAGCCGAGGGCGTTTCTCGTTTGCTGTAGCATAGGGGGTACGCGCGGTAATACGCCTCTATCGGACCGGCACGCGAACCAACATCTTGGGGGGCTGACGTCCCAAGTGCGGCCCGTCGTCGGTCGACTAGGACGCATCCCACACACCACGCGCACACCACTTTACGAACATAAAAATAAAACATACACACGCATTTGTACGAAACGACACAACACAAACAACGCGACAACGCTCCTAGCCCCTCGGTAGCTGTCCCATAACTTTCCGACGCGGAAATCGACTAGGCGTCGTGCGCGAGACTTAGGATAAAACCGCGTGGACGCAGGGCCTACTCATATCGACTCGCAATGCAAGCGTACGCAAGCAGTCGCAATGATGGCGTACTATGTAGTGCCCATAATCCAGCGGTCCCTCGTGGATCCGAGTACCGCTTATGACACTCAAGTGTCAGATTCGAAGTGTCGTGAGGGTCTAACCCTTCACGACATTGCACGACTGAAGGAATAGTCGTGCAGCCGCCGCGAGACCTCCGGCCTTTGGTCTGAGCGTCTCGGTAGGCAAGGCAAATAGGCTCTGCGCGAGGGAAAACCCCTCCCCTGCAGAGCCTAGGGTTTGGGGTGTCCTGGACAAGGACCTCGAATCCCGGTTCAGGACCAAACGTCCGACTAAGAAAAATCATAAAAAAACAAGAACAAAAATAAAAGGAGAGGCTTCCCATAAGCCCCTCAGCCTCAGCTTCTGAGTAGGATTTTAGTATGGGGACTCTTCAACCCATGCAAACATTCATCCCAAGTATACCCATGTATACATATATAAGGGTTAAGTATGTGACGATTACTCCTCACGATCTCACTGGGGTCTCTCACAATAATACGTATATGTGTGATCGTAGGCAACCAAATCCAGAATCTGATTCACAACACATACCTGCCATCACATCAACGAACCAAATCAACAGCCCACACACTACACAGAGTCAACCCCAATCACCTTCGACACTCGTACCCCTCGCTTTAGCCATGCAAACCCCAACCTCCTGTCCAACCAACCTTAAATAAATACTCAGTACCTTTGTTAAATGACCATTAAATAAAAGTTCGGGTGAAACCTTAATAAAACAACGAAATCACCAGGGCTAAAGCCTTTTAGGTTGAGTGTGGAGGGAGGGTTGAAATTGAGTCGCGGACCGACGAATCGGCAACTGACCTGTTATCAGTGATAACAGAAAGTGATCCTCAAGGGATCAAGCTGGATCTAGACCTGAACTTGAATCGAAAGATAAAAAAGACTGTAACACACGGCGGACCAATCCCCAAGCGAAGATCATAAGTGTATGAAAAATACAACTCCATAATACATCCTCACTCAAAATCTCCCTATAAGCTAAACTTAAGTCTACTTTTAAGCCAGTGCTTGAGCTAAAGGTAGACCAACTACGGAATCTCCTCTATTCTGGGCGGGTTGCTTGAATCGCCACCTGTCAAAATATAGTCTATCTCCTTTAAACTAAGAAAATTTCGGCAGTGCTTCCCGTAGGAAAAGTGTCTTTCCAGAATTTATATAAGCTCAAATATAAACGCGGAAATAATCTGTAACTCTAGAAAGTCAAATTCTGTTTAACTCTCTGGATTAGTAGAAATTTGGGCAACACTCCCTTTAGAAAGCGAGACTTCACAGATTTGTACTAAGTCAGATATAAAAGCAGAAATAATCTCTACCTCTCGAAAGTCAAATTCTGTCTAACTCTCTGGATTAGTAAAAATTTGGGCAGCACTCCCTTTCTAAAGGGAGTGCTGCCCAAATTTTTACCAAGTCAGATATAAAAGCGGAAATAATCTCTAACTTTGGAAAGTCAAATTCTGTCCAACTCTCTGAATTAGTAGAAATTTGAGCAGCACTCCCTTTAGAAAGGGAGACTTCCCAGATTTATATTAAGTCAGATATGAACTCGAACAACAGTTCGAGCTCAACTTTAGACTGAATTTAACTAACTCCTTAATTTTGTAGAAATTTCGGTAGCACTCCTTCTAGAAAAGTGATATTTCAAAATTTATACAAGGCCAAGTTCAAATTTTGAAAGTAACTTTGGCTTCCCAAAGTTCAATTTTTGTCTAACTCCCTGAATTAGCAAAAATTTGGGCAACACCCCCTTCAAAAAAGGAGACTTCCTACATTTTAACTAAGTCATATATATGGAAAAGACAAGTTGAACTCTGACAAGTCAAAAGTTGACTAAATTCTTGGATTTGTAGAAATTTCGGCAGCGCTTCCCGTAGGAAAAATAGCTTGCCAAGATTTATACAAAGCCAAGTATAAAAAAAGATCTCAGAAAATGCTGGAATTGACCTAAGTAAAAAAAATTATTACAGAAAATGCAGGAAATTGACACTAACTCCTATGACTCTAGCACGTGGCGAGCAACTAAAGCAACTACCTATAAAAATGAAATCCAAACAAACTAGTCATCCCATCCAGTCACATGCAAACCAAACCACGAATGTAAGTACTCTCACCATCCCAAGTTCATTCCATATATATAGCTCGTGAATCTTTTTAAGTTTTTGAACCTTTATTTCCCTCTTACATAAGACATAGAGCTGGACCATTCGTCATGGAAACGATGTCCAACTTGCCTTTAAGATATACACGAGCAGGTTGCACAACTACTTCTCTCTTCTTTTGGGCATATGACTAGGCCATTCGCCATGGAAACAATGCCTAGTCGCCCTGAGCTGTTGAATATCCAAAGTTTAGTATTTCTCTAATTTTGTTTTCAAAAGAAAAGACAAATATGGGCAGGGGACTGAACCATTCGCAGTAGAAACAATGTTCAGCTTGCCCAAACTATTTCCATTTATACTTTGTATTTTCTCTTCTCTCTTCTTAATGATATGGCTTAACGCTGGACCATTCACAGTAGAAACAATGCCCAGCTGCTAGTTCACATGCAAATATACATAATGTACTTTCCTTTATACTCAGTTTAATTTATGTGCGTAGTTTTCAGGCTAAACCATTCACCATGGAAACAATGCTTAGCCTTAGACCAGAAACCCTCCCTCATAATAAACAAGAATTTAAATCCCTTCAATCAGGCAAACCCTCAAAGTTAACTAGAGTAAACAGGTCATTCACAGTAGAAACAATGTCTAGTCCTCCAGAAAACAACTAAATAACATAGCAACCAGGCCATTCACAGTAGAAACAATGTATGGTCCTTTAGAAAACAGCCAAATAAACATAGCCCTGAGCCATTCACAGTAGAAACAATGCTCAGGCTTTGGTTGACCCTTCCAAACGCATGCAAAACTGCCTTCCTCCCACCTTCCCCCAATTCATACCTTAATCTGCTTTCAGTCAACACAAAAGAGAAACTTAAACTTCACTTTCACACATTCCTTCCATTCAATTTGATTGGGTCCTGAAGAGAAAACAATAATCATAGGAACAAACTCATGCATACATCAATCATACTGCAGGGAGATAGGCAAACATGGGTAGTAGTGGGTTATACAGATAAAGATGATTTACCTGAAGGTTCTCTGCCTCCAGAACCTCGCCTAGGTTCCGGCAGAGCTTCCGCAATCGGTGGGTGGACTCCCCACAGAGTCTTGATGCGGACCTACGGGTTGCAATCCCGCCTGCCGCCTTCCCCTCGTAACCAGCAGACTAGACTTAGAAAGATAGAAAGAGAAAAGTGTGAGACTCTCAGATTCAAGAATGGTGCTCTCAGTCTCGCAAGAGAGGGTCTTGAAATCTAAATGCGCCTGAGGGCCCCGCAATGATGGCCAAAACACAGCTTGGTCAATCGGTCAAAACTGCCTGCGGTCAACTCCGAGATAACCCTCCCACTCACCGCAAAGGCCCTCACCTCTCAGCGATCTCAACTCTTCTGCCTAGTAACAAGG